ACTTGGAGGAGGGGAAGGAGCCAGGACCAACATCTGGAATCCCATGTGTCTGCTGCTCTCCAGCAGTATTCCTTCTATCCAGGCATTTCCTGCCTCTTCATGGACATTCTAGAAGGGCTTTCAGTAAGTGGCTGGGGTGACAGGGAAGGAGTTAAATGTGCCTGGGCCTGGCCAGTGTGAACTCAAACAAAGGGGACTTTGTAGAGCAGGCTGGATTTTTGACATGGCTTGTTGATTCAACAGAACATGACAACTTGCCATCCTCTCTGTGTGAGTCGGGGCCAGGAGCCCAGTGCTGATGTGTCTGTCAGCCACATCATTAAGACCTCTGGTGACTGGGCAATTCCCAACCCCCTCTAAGATATACTGTTGGATGAAAGACTTTCTCTCTTCCTTGTTGGTAATATAACAATGGGGGTATTTATAAGGCCTCTCCTGGCTTAGAGAAGTCAATGCAATTAAGGCACAATGCATCTTAATTGCACAGACACCCAGCACAATGGGGAACAAATAGCAGCAGTTCTCAATACAAACAAGGGCCACAGATAGAAAAAGCTCGGTAGTGGGGTGGGGCGGGGTGTGGTGGGGTAGATGAGGGAACCAGACTGGGAGCTCTTAGAGCATCCCTGAAAAGAGCAAGATTTCCATTTGTGAGCCACTGAAAAGGGCACAGTCCCAGGAGCCTTGATAAACTATCTCCTCCGGTTGTTGTGAGGATAAATGAAACAATATTTGTAGAGTGCTATATAAATGCTATTATTATATATGAATATATGGAAGTATGTGCATACATACAAACACACGGATAAATTTCTATAAACATTCATGTGAGCACACGTGTGCATGGTATACACATATACGTGTGTATGTGTATGGATGTACACACACACACACACACACACACAAACACACACACACACATTAAACAGATGACCTCTCAGTCCTCATAACAACCATGTGAGCCTAAAGGTACTACAAGTATTATCACCATCTGTGAGGACACTGAGTTTCAGAGAAATTAAGTTATTTGCCCATGGTCACTTGGCTGGTAAATGTTAAGGGTAAGATTCAAACCCAGGTCTCTCCTGTCTCCGAGTCTTGTACTTTTTTTTTTCACTACAAAACAGTTCATCTCCCTCTCTCATCCCAGTTTTCCAATCTATAAAATGAGGCTGCTAGACCAGATGATTTTTAAGGTTTCTTCTAGGTCTGACAATCAGATTAATTAAAATGCATAGCTTTGTATTAGAAAGTAATAGAAGTAATAATAGCTAACATTTACACAGTGCTTACTATGTGCCTGGCACTGAGTAAAGTGCTTTACAGTTATTATCTCAGTTTATCTCACAACAACCCTGTGAGTTCTATTATAATCCCCATTTTACAGTTGAGCAAACTGAGGCAGACAGAAGTTAAGTGACTTGCCCATGGTCACACAGCTAGTTAGTATCTGAGGATGGATTTGAACGTAGGTTTTCCTCACTCTAGCTCTATCCTGGTGCTCTATCCCCTAGCTCTGTCCACCTAGCTGCTTCAAGATGTCAAATCTCTTTTGTTCTCAAAAGGAATAAAGATTGTTTATCATCATTTCACAGAAGAGGAGGGAAATTAGGTAGGACCAAGAGAGGCCAAGTGACTGTTCTATTGGCTCTCAAAAGACAAAACTAGGCCAGATAGGTAGAAGTTAGAGGGAGAAGAATTTAGAATCCATGTAGAGATAAACTATTAATCTATTAATTAGAGCTATCCAAAAGTGGTAGGGTTGCCTTGGCAAACTGTGGATTTCTGGTAGAAACTGGGTGAGCCCTTGTTAGGGCCTTGTACAGATGGGCCCACAAGGCTTTAGAGGTCCTTTCAAAATGTGAGACTCTATGATTCTATAATGGGTAAGGACACATGGGATAAAGCCTGGATGTGTAGTTTTATTGGTATATGGAATTCCCAGATCGAGAATCCTCATCTATCAATGCAGATCAACAACTTCTCTGTAATTTATAATTTTAAAGTTGCTTAGAGCTCTAAGAGACTAACTAGGTGGCTTGCCCAGTACATGTCTGAGGCTGGACTTGAACCCAGGTCTTCTTGGTTTTGAGGCCTAGCTCTCCACCATGATCTATTGCCTCTGGTTAAAAGAAGGAATGGATGACCTCCTCAAACCAACATTAACAGGTTCCCAGGACCCTAGGCAGATTTTCTAGTGTCCCCAGGCCTGGCTGGTCCTTTACTTTGTCAGAGACTACATGGCAGTTCCCCTAATTGCCAGACACTATTTGGAAGAGTCTCTTATATCCTACCTAGTGATTGGAGTCAAGGGGATATGAGCTTCCCCTAAGCTAGGATGAATCTCTTTCACTGATTTTCAGATTTGCTCTGTACCCACTCACTCCCTTCACATTCAAATACCTTTTAGAAAATCAATTCCCTGCTAAGAAAATTAAGCCATGTAGTTTTCCCTGGAATTTACTGCAAGGATAGGTGACTTCTTCCATATGGAGGCAATCCCTTTTGTGATTGGGCTGATGGTCTTGAAGAAGTTTCTAAGTCTAAAAAATTCATCACCCTGACACCACTGGGTGATAAGCCCCTCTGAATTCACTTTGACTGGTTCTCAGACAAAAGACAGATAATCTATCAGATATGGAGTACAGACTCCAGACCTTTCCAGATTGCAAAGAGCCCACTAGAACTGGTAGTCCTCTGGTACAACCATTGACAGCTGCCTGTCACCTCCATGCCATAATCAGGCATCTTGAGGAAAGTATCTCTGAGGGGCAAAACCCTAAAAATCAGTGTTTAAATTGCACTATTAAACTACAAATCTTTCATGCCCTTAGGCAAAAGTGTGAAATAGTCAGTCTTCACAGCCTACAGTCTCCTCTTTCAGAGATATTTCCTGCATTCTACTGTTCTTTTTTCTTTTCTCTGAAGCTTAGACCCCTTCTCTCCTATTTTCCAGAAAGAATTTGATATCAGTCATATGTATCTTTGTGTGCATTTAACTCAATTCTCTCAGGATTTTTGCATTTTGAGTCCTTTCTCTCATCACGGAAAGAAAGGCTTTGTTCCCTGGTAAAGAAATTTTAAGTTTCATCCAACAAGTGGGGGTGGAGGAGGTTTTTCAGGGTGGAGGAGGAGACTTCCTGGTGCCCTGGAAATATAATTATAGAATCCTAGAATGTTAGAGTAAGATGGGGCCTTAGAGATCAACTAATCCAACCTCCTCTTTTTATAGAAAAAGGAAACTGAGGCCCTGAGAAGGGAAATGGGTTCCCCAAGGGCACAAAGTTAGTGAGTGACAAAGTTATGCCAACAACCTAACTTGTCTGATGGGGCTATGTGCCCTATAAAAGTGATCAAAACACCAGTTAAAAGAGACCATACCATCCTGCTTTCTGTTCACTGCAGAAATCTTCTCTGTAGCCTGCCCAAAACAGGTCATCTAACCTCGGCTTGAATTTTTAAAGTGAATGGGAGCTCACTATCTCAAGAGGCAGCTCTATCCATTGTTGAACAGCTCTGGATATTAAAAAGTTTATCTTCATTTTGAGCCAAGATCTGCCTGTCTATAAATCAAAAAGTGCAGACGGTAGTTTACTTTAGGAAGATTAGTAGGAGATAGTGGCATTGAGTGAAAAGATTAATAGCCCTAAAGTCAGGAGACTTGGATTTGCAAATGCCTTGGCATTTGCTATCTGAGTGACTAAGAGGAAGTAACTTTACCCCTCAAAGTTTCAGTCTCCTAATCTGTACAATGAGAATTGTAATATTTTCACTACTTATCTCACGTTAGGAGGAAAAGTGGTTTGTAGACCTTAAATCACCAGACAAATGTGTGTTCAAATTGTGCCTCGGACACTTGCTAGCTGTGTGACTCTGAGCAAGTCATTTTATTTCTGTCTTCCTTAGTTTCCTCACGTGTAAAATAGACAGCACCCATCATGACATCATTTGTGAGGATCAAATGAAATAATTGTAAAGTGCTTACTTAGTACGGTGTCTGGCATATAGTAGATACTATATATAAGTGATGATGATGATGATGATGATGATGATGATGATGATGATGACTAGTTTTGTGTCCCTGGACAAGTCACTTGACCTCTGTCAACCTCAGGTTCCTCATCAGTAAAATGGCAATAAGAGCACCTACTTCTTAAGAGTTCTTGGAAGAATCAAATGAGATAATGTATGAAAAGCAGTTTGCAAACCTTAAACGTCTATATAAATGACTGCTATTGTATCACGTCGTTGGTTGCTCAATTCTGTGCAGAAAAGACAAGTAGCAACTTTGTTTCTAATGGTCGCAGCTACACTTTACATTTATGTAGGTTCTTTCTAAATCCACACTTATTTCTCTAGGTCTCATCGCCCCGGCTTCTGAACCATCATAATCAGCAGTTCACGCTATTCGGCGCATCAAGCATTTAAAAATTGTTGACCGGTGTGTCGCGAGGAAAGGTGTCAGGTGTCAGGGGCCAGGACTGCGATGACATATTAAAGCAAATGAGGGCCACCGGGCGGATGTTGATTTTCAGGAATAAATGCCCAAAACACGATCCTTGCCGGTCGGGTTGCCTCTCTTGTGTGTTAAAGGTACGCAGCCCAGCGAGCGCGCCGCAAACTGCGGGAGCTGCCGCTTTAAGAGAGGGGCGGGGCCGCTGACACGGGGCAGGCAAGGCCGGCCCACCCGAGCTCCTTTTCCCTTTTTGATCCATTCAAAAATTACTCATTGCAAATTCCCGGACTGCGAGGAGCGGAGGACGGCCGCGCTCCTGGCAGCGGGCGTCTACGGGGCTCAGAGGCGCTCGGGGACCGGCGCCTGCAGTCGCGTCTTATCGGGCGCGGAGCCGCCGCTTCTCCGAGGGCCGCCTCCACCAGGAAGCTGTCGGAGTCAGCTAGTCTCAGAGCAGTCCGGCTGCACCGCCGCCGCCGGCCCGGCCCTCGCCATCGAGCCGCCTCCTTCCCTCCTCCCGCCCGCCCGCGCCGCAGCTCCGGCGGCGTCTCCTCCCGGGCCATGGCTGCATGCTGAGCCCGCTGTGGCTCCCGGCTCGGCTCAGCTCGGCTCGGCGGCGGCGGCACCCCTAGCCCGCCCGGCATGGCTGCGCGAGAGGAGCTGTACAGCAAAGTCATCCCCCGGAGGAACCGGCAGCAGCACCGTCCCGGCACCATCAAGCATGGGTCGGCCCTCGAGGTCCTCCTCTCCATGGGATTCCCCAAAGCTCGAGCGTGAGTTAAAGGCACTCGCGTCCCTCTTGCCCTGCATCCTTCCTTCTCTCCCGGCATCCTCCCCTGCCCTCTCCTCGGCTTTTCTTCTCGGCCGCCGCCTCCCCTCGCCTCCTCCTTCTCCGACGCCGGCCCTAGTCCTGATCCATGACCTGCTGCGCTGCTGGCGAGACTGGGCGGGGAAGGATGCTGCTAAAGATGGGATGGGGGAGGACTATTTGAATGCCCTTTACTGGGGACTCCCCGGGCAAGGGGTGGGCGCGTGGACGCGCCCGTGTGGGCGCGCGCGCGTTTGTGTGTCCGTGCTCTTTAGTTCTCTCGGAGTCGAGGATTCCCCCCCCCTTCCCCGCATCCCGACTGGCGGCAGTAAGCAGGTTGTCCCTAGGTCATCCCTGAGGTCGCTGTGGCAGAGCCGGTGTCATGCCTGGAGGTGCTAACAGGGTCGGGGAATGAAATCCTTCTGGATTCCTCGCCCCATCCTGGGGCTGCTAGAGAGAGACGAGGGGACTGCGGAGCATAGAGACGCTGCCGTCACCCCCCCCACTGCAGTGGTTTCCCAGCTCCGGATGTTGGTTTCCCTTTGGAGTAGGAGGAGCGGGAGTGTGGGTGTTGCTGCATATTCATTGATAGAGTAGCTAGGATAAGATAATTTTCCACCTGGAGACCTGACGGATGTTATTTCCCTCTTCCTCCAGAGGTGGTGGGTGAAATCGGAGGGGGGCTTTCTAGGTAGAAAGCTTACCTTCTCTGTCATTATCTTTTTTATCCACTCACCCACCCCCGTGGTGGGAGAAGGGACAGCTTGGTGGTCCTTGATGCCTATTGGCAGGAAGGCCTGGCTGACCAGCAGGAGGATCAGGAGGGAGCTGCCTGAGAAAGCCCATGTCAAGTTTGTGGACACAGGAGGTAGAGGTGGCCTGCAAGGGAAAAAAGTCAGAAACACCATCCCTGTTTTATTGGGACTGCTGTCATTTTATTCTATCCATTTTCTAGCCTGACTGCCCAGCACCTTAGTTCTGTAATGATATCAGCAGAGAAGAGAGATTTGGGAAAACTTTATCTGGGAAAGCCAGGCTGATAATAAGCGCACTTCCCTTCCTTTTCAGAGGCACTCCTATGAGATAGTTATGTCTCCCTTCCCCCACCTCTTGACTAATCTTGCTTATACTTTGGGAAGTTTGGTTGTTAGTTGGTAATCCAGGGAGTTTGGAAGGAGTTGGGGAGTGGCCTTCAGAGGACAGGCTGGCTTCACCTTTTCCCGTTTCCCTCTAGTTTAACTTGAGCAACTTTCAAACTCAGTTTGGGGTTTGAAGTACTCTGGGTTATAGGAAAAAATAGTGGGCAGAGCCCCCAATCCAATTTATTGCTGGGTCTTACTTTCCTTTCTGAATGAAGCCATGAGAGATGGATCTGTTTGTGCAGTGGTTATGATTATCTATTGGTATTGGATGAAACAGGGACTTGGGGAAAATTGAGGAATACAGTCTTGTCACACAGCCTTATAAACCTAGGCACAATTCTGGTATCTTGGCTTCCAAAAATGCAGGCAGTAGCCAGGGCTGAGGACAGGGGTGACATTATGTTTTAGCAGAAATGTAAATGGAGAGAAATGTTACTGGACCTAACACCTAATTTGGAGTCTTATCACCTTACTGTTATGGTCAGCTTTGTTCACCTCCTTCCACCCCAGACATGGGGAAAATAGAGTTGGGGGGCGGGATAATTAATCAAGCTTTTCAAGGGGGGGTGACGGGGTGACGGAGGACGGACAGACGGACTCCCATGAGTCTCTATCTAACTTGATGACCGCAGGGGTGAAGTGCTGGTGAGGAGAGATCAATGACTGCTTTTGTACCTAGGAAAAGAGGACAACTCAAGCATTAAATTCATTCTTCACCCTTAAGACAGCATTTAGGAGAAGCAGGCTGAAGAAGGAGAGGAGGAGGGAGGACTATAATTAAAAAGTTCAAGGCAGGGAATGGGGCTTGGAATCTCTAGGAGAGGGAGACATAAAATATAAAGCAGCCTCAAGGAATGAGTGAAATATCCCCAGAAAGGATAAATCTAACACATGATGAGTAACCATGATAAAATGGGCATTTGGAATTCATAGGGGCATTATAGTAGTGTATGAGCTCAAAGAGCTCACAATCTTGACTATAATAGGTTCCTAATATTTTATTTTGTACATTAGCTTCTTCTCAGCCAAAAAGACTTCCTCACTCCAGTACCTTTTCATTTAAAAAAAAAGTTAAGCAAAACCACCTAATAGAACAATTAAGTAGTGATGGCAACTTACCACACATGTTAATTTCCATTTTTGTAGTTTACAAAAGGAAGGTTGTGTGCTTGAACTTTGATCATTTGGATAGGTTTCTTAAGTTCTGAGAGCCTTTCCCTCCTTTTCTTCCCTTTTTGAGGTTGTAAATGTGATCCATTGTACCAGGTCCTGCCTGTAGGGCTCTGGGTGTTTCAGATGCCAGGGAAGCAAAGAGAGAACAGCAAAAGGGTGGTGGCTGGAACAGAGAAGAAGGCCTGAATCGCATTCTTAAGCTTTGCTTTTTCAAAATCCTCTTAAAACTTTATTTATTTATTTATTTATCCATTCATTCATTCATTTATTTATTTATTTGTTAAGCTTTGCTTTTGCAGAAGTCACTCTGCATTTCACCTGAGCTTGAGTTAACTGTGACTCAGAGGGAAGATTAATTAGTTAAGTACTTGTTAAGTGCTTGGCCAAAGTAATAGAGAGGGATTTGGCTGCTAGAGAGCAGGGTAGCCTTAGGCCATATTTTATTTACAGCTGACTCCTCCGCTGGACCATATGAGGGGGAGCTTCTAGATGGGTGTCTGAAGAGTGGTTGGGGGTTAGGAGAAAGATTGAGGAACATAGTTTGACAACTTCTATGAAGCTAGCTGGACAAGTTGTCATAATGCCACATCAGTAGGTAGTTTCTAGAGGCTACAGCTGCATCCCCCTTCCTACTATCATGTGTATCTTCTGCTTTCTCTCTCCCTCCTCCCAAGAGGGAAGGGAGCTTTAACAGGGGAGCTTTGTGAGAAAAGAATAAAACACAGCCTTTAATTAGGAATATTTGTAGCTCCTAGGAAAGTGAGCAGAAAAGGAAATCTGATAATTTGCTAATCTTAGGTCCAGTCATAGACTATAGTTGGTGGAGACTGGCCTGATTTGAATAATAGGAATCTTGATTTTAGACCCTGCAGAACTGAACCCCCACTCCCACCCCACCTGGAAAGGAGTGGTCATGAGGAGGCTGCCAGGCCCTTCTCTCTCCTAGGGGACCTGTTTTCTATGGCCAAGTGCCCTGGACAAGCACTGGCTCATCCTTGGGTGTCTCTTGGGTGTCTTAGGATTTCTGACAGTGCCCTTACTTCTAGGCTGTTGTGAGATACAGAGATAATCAGGAGGCTCAGAAAATGACTTATTTTTGTTTGTTTGTTTGTTTATTAATGATTGAGTATGGTCTAATGAGGAAAACCTGAGGTTGGGAATCAAGAAACCTAGCTTCTACCAGAAACTGACTCTGTGACCTTGCTCAAGGCTCATAGGATCATAGGATTTAGAGCTAAGAAGGACCCTTAGATAGCATCTCATCTAGTCCAGGCTTCTCATACATTGGAGGAAATTGAGAAGGGAAGTGACTTACCCAGGGTCACATGGGTAGTAAGCAGCAGAACTAGGGTTTGAAGCCATATCTTCCGACTCCAAAGCCAACTCCTCTTTCTTTTCTACCAGGCTGTAACTTCTCAGAACCTCTGACCTATAGAATGGGGATGCCAGAGGCCTTGTCTGTTTCATGAGGTTATGAGCATCAAGTGAGATCATGTATGTGAAAGCATTTTGCAAACTATGCCAGCAATTATTAATTTTATTAATAACAACAATTATTATTATATGGAAATATGCTAGATCAGAAGACAGGACGTGAAACAAGAGGGCTGTGTAAATCTCCTAATTTTAGAGAACACTCCTTATTTCCCCATTCTAGTTGGGATAGGGGAGCTCAGTGCAGTCAGCACTAGACTGTGATGAAAGGAGAGAACATTTGAACAAGTCTTGTGTTGCTTTCCTGTGGCCAATAGGCTGCATTTGATATGCCTCCTTGTATAGTGATGTTATTGTTTGTCCTTTGTTCTGAAAGTGGACTATGACATCAGGGAGGTGATGCCATGACATGCAAATCACTTGTATTTAGTGAGGGAGCGCTGTGCAAAGTCACCAGCCTCACTTTCTCCTCCACCATCTGGTTCCAGTGGCAAGATATAGATCAGGATGACTGGAGATGGCACTAGATGAGTGGGAGACCTTGGTCTTTTTTAAGTTAAGGTTTTTAAAAGGCTGACTGAGGCAATGCCCAGTCAGTAATTAAGGCTAGGTAAGAAATGACTTGCATAATGATAAAAACCAACTGGATCCTAGAAGCAGGAGTTGAGAAAAGGATTTCTTAGAGGCAGCTAGATGGTGCGGATAGAACACCGACCCTGGATTCAGGAAGACTTGAATTCAGATTTGGCCTCAGACACTTGACATGTACTACCTGTGTGACCATGGGCAAGTTACTTTACCCCATTGCCTCAGGGAAAAAAAAAAGACAAAAGGGTTTCTTGCAATTCTCAGGAATGATCATATCCAGTAGTATAGGACACATGGTGTTATTATTAATGTCATTAATAATAAGCACTAAAGTTATTTCCGTAATTTGAGCCTATATTGCATGTATTCACAAAATTTTAAACCAGAAATCTCCACCACTGCCATTTGTGACATTGACCTTACATATAACTCAGAGGCACAAAATTTGTGTCCTTGACATTTTGGACCCAGTGACATGCAGGTTTACATCATCTAATATGACTATTTACCCAAACAGCCTGTAGGACATCCTGTTGGCTCCTCTTGGATTCTCTGAAAGCACCTCATTTTCAGTTGTTGTAATGCAGCCAACTTAGGGGTGGAGCTTTCTAATAGAACATCCTAAGAC